GTATATTTGTATGTATGTATGTACATATGTACGTGAGGTGAAAGATGTTTTGAAAGCGTTTAAGATTGAAAGTGGTGGTGTTGTGTTATTGTACTTACTCACATATTTAGTTATGTAGGTGTGTATGTATGTACCTATAAATTTGATGAATAAATTGTGTCATGCTATAATGACGGTGCGAAAAACTTAACTGAAAGTCGAAGTAGCAACTGCTAAAAGTTATGAAAGGTACGGAATGAGCAGTGCTAGGAAATGTTTGGAAGTGAGCTGAGTTTTTGAATGATTTGTGTGAATATGACTAATCGACTCTTACTTATGTATAGGGAATGGAAATTTGAAGTTGGAGCAGATATAAAAATAAGTGAGGATTGAGATAAAAGTAAAGAAAAAGGTATGATCGATTTTAAATGCTTTTAGGAAACTATGTGCAGAAGAAGCATATGATTTTATGAAAAATTCCCATAAATACTCTTGCATTGCAAACAAAAATCTTAGAATCTTGGAAAATGCACTTAATGCATAGAATTTTGCTGCATAAATATTACTAATGGTAGAATGCTCATTGAGGACGAAGTAGTTAAAATTAAAGACATACGCCTTTACACCAACTGGGCTCAACATAACATAACAAAGAAAAATTTTAGCTTTTACATAGTTTTTACAACCGCATATTAAAGACATTTCATCAAAGCTCTACATAGAATTGTAGTAATGTAACCGCCTTAGCGATTTTGGCCGAGTTCAGCAAAGCACGCCAGTCGTTGTAGGGAAGTTACATTGTGAAAAAGTATTCAGCATTTGAGAATTTATATGAAATTAGACAAAAGAGCTTTAGTGTTTAAAGTAGATGAAAATCAGTGATAGCAAAACAGAAGTTAAAGTTATGGGCAAAATAATAGTTGCAAAATTCCAAATGGTATTTTTCGCAACTAATGTTTATTTCTTTTTTTTAATAATTCTCATTGAAAATAATGTTTTTTCCATACCAGAAACCACATACAGAAATAGTTCAAATAAGTTGTTCAAAAATTCAAAAAATTGTAATCGAAATTTTGTGTTTTTTATTCAGAATTTTATGAAAATTTTCGAGTACACAGTTTTGTAGTACATTTAGTTTTAGTGCACGTATCAAGTCCCTCAAAATTATCGTTAATTTTTGACAGTTTTTTGCGAGGATGTTGCTTGTTTTCTGCCATCCATATAACTCATTACCAAAATTTATTTGTTTTTTTTTTAACAAGGCTTTAAAACTTGTTATTGTGGTTTCTGTTATGGATTAATCTCTATTTTAATTCGATGTTATTAAAAATAAATAAATACACATAAGCTGCAAGGAAAACCATTTGGAATTTTGGGTCTATAATTTTGTCTAAAAGTGTATTTCGCGAAAAAAAAATAATATTTATGACTCACAAGAGGCGAAGTTGGCATGAAAAAGCTAATTTTTTGCATTGGACTACAGAAAATAAACTTATAGGCTTGAGCATGTGTTGGGGCTAAGTTAATTCTCAAACGTGCAAAGAAGATTCTCTTTCACTTTTTCTGCAATGTCATCTACTTGAAAGTTGCAAATTTTTATGAGGTTTGCAAATCATTTCGAAAGATTGAAGATAATTTTTTTTTTTAACTTTTGTTTTGCAATTAAAAAAGTTTAAAATCGCATAACACAAAGCCATTGTAGGCGCTGTGAAAACGCATGGAAATTTAATTATTTTGGCGAAACCACATAGTGAAGTAAAAGGGAAAATGCGAGTATTTTTGTTTAAGCTATGAGTTAGGCATGCTACACATATACATAAGTACTTATGTATGATAATGACCGCAATAAAATAACAAAAAAAAATCATAATAAATATGAAGCAAAATTAACATGCCCTCAACTAAGGCAGAATGTTAATTGTTGACAAATATTGCACTCATGCGCTGCTGAATAATGTTAAAAGTTCAAAAATCATTTTGAGAAAGTTTTGCAAATAAGCGAATGACCATAGAGAGCAAAATGGCTACATTAAATGCAAGGTTTCATGAACAAATGCATGCAGTCAGCAGCTACATAAGTATGTATGTATATAAATATACATATAAACATACATATGCACATATGTGTAAGTAGATATGCAAGAGTGCAACATGCAACAGCAAGTTGAACGAACTCATCAAGTGCTAATGAAAAACCAATTTAAAAAAAAGTTTCAGCACATCACCAATATGCATGCATACGAAAATTTAAGAAAGTAAAGAATATGCCACTCACGTGGAACTAAAATGTAAATGGAATGTACGAAATGAATGAATATGTAGGTAGTGTGGGCAAAATTGCAATGCAGTGACAGTTGCAGTGAGGTTAAGCTGTGAAATTAAATGAAGTTTTAAATATAAATGATATATGTAAACAAAAATGAAGTGCAGTGAAAATTATCTCCATTTTTATGATGACAACCTTTATAAAGTGCTTTCGCTTTCGCGTGTTCATTTTCAGAAAAAGTCATTTACATATTTCAGCGTTGTTGACTTAAAAAGGGTGAAATGTTATTATCAGCTCATTTCAAGCCACTTATTAAAAATAAATTTGCCGATTTCGCCCTTTTCGGTGTATGGGAGAATGAAAGTGTAGGGCATAAGAAATAATCAAATATTACCAAATAGGATTACTGAGAAAAAATATTAAGATAACGGAGCAAAAGTGTAGCATTTAGTGAAAAATTAAGCTATTTTCTCTGAATTCAACCACTTAATAAAAGGCGTGTGAATTGTCCTAATATGTATTGCGGATGCGTAGGCGTATGAGTGACGTATTGGGGCGAGTAAAAAAAAACGTTGAACATTTCGAAGGATCGATGTGAAAAGCGTTAAAATAAAGTGAAGTGAAAACAAAATTGTGATAAAAAGTGCAGAAAAAATAATAAAATACACGGGTTATTATGATTTTGAGGTGATTTTAAAGAAAATATTTTGTAGAAGAGATTGGCCGACTACCAATACGTATGTAGTAGTTCAGCACTGTCAATCTGATGTGTAAACTGCTGATTTTTTGAAAATTACTTTTTTTTTGTTGTGTGTAGTTAGTATTTCAAGTAATTTCTTGCATTAAATTAATATTTTCTACCAGACATGGTCATGTAGTTTGAAATGAAAACTGCAAATGCTGCGAATTGTAAGAAACGTATAAATGATTTGATTTGAATGTGTAAATAAAAAGAAAGCGAGTTTTTGTTTTTAATAATTTTTACATAAATTATTATTCATTCATTCGTAAATGTAGTTTTTTTTTGTTATAATTTTTCTGTTGGTATGTAGTCTTTTCAAAAGCGGGCAGTAAACAGTTGATAGAATAAAAGAAATTGAGCAATAGTAAGATAGAAACAGTAATATAGTTAAAGTGTATAAATGTAGGCTGTGAAATAAGTTATAGGTTTTACAAATAGTACAACAGAAAAAGTAGTAGGCATAAGATAAGAAGAGAAAACTTACTTTACATGTAGAGTATTTATAAAGTAAGTGAATTATATACAAAAAGTAAATAGCGGAATAGGTAGATACTGAAATACGAAAAATAAGGCATGATAAAAAATAATTTACAAAAGATGAAATAGTAGTAGGATAGAAACGTAAGAGGAAATGGTACGAAATAGTGATAGAAGAGAGAATTGGAAAAAATAGTATAAATAAGAAAGGAAAATAGTACTAAGAAAAAGTAGTAGAAAATAGTAGTAAGAAAAAGTAACACAAATCTGTAGTAGAATATAATTGAAGAAAATAGTAATAGAAAGACGAGCAGAAAGGAGTATTAGAAGATAGCACAAGAGAGAGAAACAGAAATAGTAGTGAAAATTAGTATTAGAAAGAGTAGTGGAAAATAGTACTAAAAAAGGACAGTATAGAACAGTTCAGAAAATTGTAGTAGCAAGTGATAGATGAAAATAGAATTAGAAAGTGATAGTGATTGACCTAATTGCTTGTAGTTTTGCATTGCCTATTTGTAGCACAACCGGCTGACTAGTAGATTTGCAAAGCGTGTTGATCGTTTGCGTTTGGTGTGCGTGCATGTGTTTGTGCTTATTGATGCAGCGAATGAAAATGAGATATTGCATGTGTGTTGTTGCTCCGCACAATTGGATACATACATACATATGCATATTCAAATATCTATGCCTCCTTGTGGCGACCTTGACAAAAAACACGTCCATTACATAACATCAACATCAGCAACAACGGCAACAGCAACAATAATTGACAACATACATACAAACATATACATAGGCTAACTTAAATAAGTGCTACGCAACATTATTGAAAATAGTTAGCAATAAAATATATGGTAACGATGTGAGAGTGTATGTATGCAACTACATGACAATGTGGCGCTTAAAGCTTAAATTAAATCATTAAAATATATAGATGCATAGATCTAAAGCATTACGGTCATAAGTCCTCGATTAAGGAAGTAGCGAGCTGAGGCCTCACGCAAACTTTTGCCAATTTACATATACTTAGATGTCACTATGTATGTATGTACATATATGTGATTGAACTGCTCATTTCGCCTGCCAACCAACTCCTTACTGCCTCAGGCACTTGAAGATTCGTTGTTTGGTTTTTGTTTTTTATGTAAATGTGGTTCCAATCGTCTTTTTCGTCCATTTTCTTCGTGGCTTATTTTTCATTACATACATTACAAAATAAATATTTTTGATAATAAATAAATTAAAATAAATTAATAATATTTTTTTTTTTTTGTATTGAATCGTTGCTACTCGTTTACCACCACAAGCGGTTACGTGCTGCTACATTCTTCATTTGTTTTTGATTTTTTTTCGACGCTATTTTCTTTCGTTGACAGCAGTCGCACACATTTGTGAATGCATGCTTTTTATCGTTGTCATTTTGTAGTGAACATTCTGTTTAGTTTATTTGTTTACATTACCCTAATTGTTGTTTTGGCTTTTTAGCGCAGACTGACACCCGACGCCACTCCCCGCTTCAACTTCCGCTCCCAATGCTTATCGTCGGGCTTGCTTGTAGCCAGAGTAGGCAACTGTTTGCGCAACTGGTGAACTGTAGGCGCCGTGCGAGTCCCAGCCAGAGTTGCCTGAAGACCAACCGCCGCCGCCGCCACCACCCGATGACCAACCACCAGAGCTGGCTGCGGATCCAGAGTTCTTGCCACCGAACAGACCACCGAGACCGCCGAGCAGACCACCGCCGCCGCCACCGCCGCCCAAACGGCTCAGACCACTTGAAGCACCAGCAGCCAAGGCTAAGAAGAAAGCAATAACCGAAACGACGAGCGCCTTCTTGGCCAAGAAGAGCAAACCAAAGAGGGCACCAACAGCCAAAATGGCGATCTTAGCGCCAACACCCAACAGGATGGGGAGGAATTTTTTCAACAGCTTCTTCTTCTTGGTACGCGACTCAACAACCAACTCACGCAAATCGGCCTTGATGTCATCGGGAATGGCACGCGCCACTGAGCGTGCAGCATTGGCGAAGTTAAAGTTCAATGAGCGTTCAGCGAAGAAGTTCTTGGCGTGATTCATGAAGTAGGTGCCCATTTCGCTGGTGCGTGCCTCAACGGTGGGTGCGGCCTCTACGGCGATGGCATTGTCATCGAATGATTTGCCTTGACGTCCTTCATTGGATTTGATGAGGGAAACACCGCCGACGATTTCGATTTGTGGATTTTCGAAGAAGGATTTCGCTTTGCGGAAGAGCTGTGTGTGGAGAAAGGAGAGGGTGAGAGGAAGAGAGAAAGAGAAATATAAGTAGTTTGATTAGCTTATGGAAAAAATATGGATATAATATAAGAAATTTATGAAAAAATTTATGAAAACATTTAATGTAAGCAACAACTTAAAAATTACGGCGATATTAAACTTATGTAGAAATAAATAAAAAATTGAAAGTAATGATAGAAATTTTTTCACGTAATCACGCAAAGTTCCAATATTTTTTTTAATTTTCAAATATTTTTTTTGCTGGAAAATTTTTAAAATTTGTTTTCTTTGGTTCAATTAAATTTTTTAGTTAAAGCCAGAGTCTCGGTGCTATTTTTGTTTTTTTTGTAGGTTAACTCTAAAGAAGTCTAATGAAGAGATGTGGTGTTCTCCAAAATTGCAGCTATAATATCTACCGCTTAGACTTTAATGTTTTTCTATTTTTGCCTAACAAACAAATCGCTTTACAAAGCTTAATGACATTGCTAAGAGTTGATGATAAATAATTTTTATAATAAAAATATTAAAATCGAGATAAGCTTAGTTGACTTCTAAGTAAAAAATTATTGGTAACGATTTTAAAAATAAACGAAGCCAAAATTTGCATGAGTAATTCAACCATTTTTTTTTAGATTTAATAGAAAAAATTTTAGCTCAAAAAGTTCAAACCTTTTAGATTTCAAAATATGAACTTATGTATAAAAAATTAAAAACCCATATTACAGCTGAGAAAAAAAATATTTTCCTAATAATTAAAAAAACAAAAAAATAAACTGTATTGTACCAAAATTTCAGATAAAAATTAAAGAATAAAACAATTAAAAAAATCATTAAAAAAGAAATTTTAAAATTCTGTCGCAAACTCCTTGAGTAATTCATCATTGTTTATTTAGTGATAATTTTTTTAACAAATAATGTCATTATTAAGGGTCATTTTCTCAAGTAGGTATTATAATTTATCTACCCTCTTAACAAAAATTTTGTTTGAAAAATGTGTTTGAAGGGCAGATAAATTTTAAAATCTACTTGAGAGAACGGCTCTAGAAGTACCTATTTTAAAAGCTCAAAGTAAATAAATTTAATAGAAAACTTGTGAGGATTAAATTTGCAAAAAAAAATTATTTTGAAATATTCAAAACTTTTAAATTTCCAAATACATAAAAAAAATAAATAATCTTAAAATTTTCAAAACTACACTCTAAAAAGTGCATGTAAAACTACTACTGAAAAGTGTTTATTTTTCAAGCAGAATCTGCTATATTTACAATATATTCAAGGTTGAATATTTGAACATGAGATGTTTAAATTTGCAAACATTTTGAGCGACTAAATAAATTTCCTACTAACAATTAACATTAAGTGCTCATATTTATAGCACAAACATATTGGTGACAAATTTGGTATGCAAAAGTAAACAGACAGTGTTTATTTTTTATAAAAAAGGTATGTAAATTTACACATTACGAGAGAAAATTGCTTACCTCTCTCAATATGCGTAAATTTAAACAATAAATTTTTATAACAATTTGAAAAAGTGTAAAAAAATGTAAAATAAAAATATTGATATTGAAAAATTTTAAAGTATTAAAAAATTGATTTCCAAAAAGATATAAAAAATTTGAGCAGAATCTGAATAATTAGACGTGTACGAATAATTTGTATTAATAGTTAATATCTGAGAAACAAAAAAAATATATTTCTTTAAATTAGCCGCCTTCTGCTCACTTAAGCTCATCCCTGCTAACTTAATGAAAATTTTGTATGGGAAAGCAGCAACAAAGTTAGCTAGCAGCGATGAACGTTTGGCACTAATTTCGTTCGTTGCGCCACTCGCTGCGTATTGGCGAAACGTAGGCGGCTATTATTAAGTAATTTTGTTTCGATGAAGACAAATAATCAAAATTTACATATTTATTAAAAATTACTTTTGTATATAAAATTGTAAATTTATATTTTGATCTTTACCACCAACATGTATAAACTAAGCGGGTATTAATTACAGGGAACTTCTTTTTGAAAATGTTTTCAACCGAATGTTAGACCAATCTTAGAGATCAAATAGAATATTAAAATATTGTATTATATAAGATTTACGTTTCACATTTATGGATAACAGAGCATTTTTTTTTTTTTATTTGATAAAATTGTTCAGCCCATGATAAAAACATAGCAAGGTATAACCGTTCTCTCAATTTGTCGGCCATGATTTTTTTTTTGAAGTTTGCCAACATTTTAAAATCATATAAAAGTGAAAATAAAAAATTGAAATTGTTCGAAATTGTTGTTGCTTGAGATTGAAAATGAAAATGTGTGTGTGAGTTTGTGAGTAAATTTAAAAATTAAATTGTTTGGAAACGTCAAGAATCTTAAAAGTGACTCTCAGCGGTTCTACCTTACTATATTTTTATCATGGTTCAGCCTACTTTATCAATTTTTCGCTCAAATATATTATGGAAATTGCTAAAATAATAAAAAATATTGGCTGAAATCCGTTAATGCAAATATATATATTTTTTAAAGCAAACATTTTTTTTACAGTTTTGCGGCCTAGTCACTTATTCATCACCACTTATTTTCGGGCACCAAAACTGCTGTACACAAAATTTGAACTTCGAGTGTTTTTTAAATTAGTAAGCACTAATTATTTTTTTCGATTTTCACTTTCATACATATTTGGTGATCTTTTGTCTTTTTTCGATTTTCTAGCTGCACTAGTTATTATGCAACAAATGTTTTTAATTCTCAGTCTTTTTTTTTAATTTTTTCTAATGTATTAAATATTTTCTATTTTATACATGCATGTATTTTCAAACACTTCGTACCGTTAGTTGCAGGCACGAGATAGAATCTGCTTCTAAACACTTATTAAATCCACTATTCGCTGGGATGACATTATTATCCTTAATGGGGTCGGCAAATGCACTGGCAGACAGCAGCAGGATACAAGTGGCGGTGAGATACAAATTCATGTTGTTATAGGTAGGTAGTTGTTGTTGGTTAATGTCGAACAGGACAGTAAAAATATTTACTGTACGTATGTATGTATTTCTGTTTTTCGAATTTGGCTACACTACCGTTTACACTATGTGTTTATTCGAATGGAACAACTTGCGGTTTGATAATTTTTCGTCGATGTCAGTCTGTTTTTAAACAGTTCCAAACAATCATCAAAAATCTTAAAATTATGCAAAACACAAATACGAATATGAAGCGGCAGCAACAGCGAATGCGGCCGCGACAGCAGCAACAAAAAAGCGGCCAAGATGAGTAGAGTACCGTTTGCTGGATTTGAGCGACGTCAAAACGTTGCCACCGACCTGCCCCGCTTGGTGTTGTAACACGAGGCAGGCCAACAACAACGCCACTTGCAACACAAAGCCACTTTGACATGGTGAGCAAGGCGTCACCGTCACCAGCGCGAAAGCGAGCAAAGTAACTCGAGCGCGCAGCTAAAACAAACAACAGTTGTGAGCAATTGTGCGCCGGTAAAAGCCCTCAACGCAGGCAGACGCTACTCTCCCATAGTGGTCATGAAGTCAACGATGGCAGCCAACGACAAAAGCCCTCATGCAGCTTGCGACAGCGACAGCGACAAGGCAGTGGCGGGCGTGAGAGTGTGAGCAGCGTTTAAGAATGATGGCGTCGAAGAAGCAGAGCAGTGCAAACCCACATACGACACTGCCCAATTGCTCAGCGTTAAGCGCTCAATGTTAATAGCTTCCGCATGCGTACGCTTGTATGTGCATACGTGTGTGTGCGCCTGCGTATGTGCTTGCGCAAAGCCAAGGTGAGAGCAGCGCTTAGCACCTCGCTGTTTACCAGGGTTGCCACTGACGAAAAAAAATATTTACCATCGACTTGAAAAAAATCTACCAAATGTGGGAAATATCTACCAATAACTTTTTTATAATTATTTTAATAAAAACTATAGTTTTATTATTTTTTTATTTATTTTAATTAAAACTTTAGTTTTTTTATTTTTTATTTTTATTATTTCAATAAGAATTAAAATTGTTTTTAAGAACTTTTTATTTAACTAGTTATACGGTATTTGGGTCGTATTATTGGCATATTCTCAGTTTCCTTCAACCAAAAGCGGAAGTGATGAAACTAAAGGCAACAATGAAACTTTATTATTTGAAAAACTTTAACTCGAGTTATTATACACAAATACAGTGACTCAAAAAAGTGATTTTTTTTTAATATTCGCAATATTTTTCGAGTAAAAATTTTTTGTTGCTTTAACTAAATCCATAAAAATCGAGGATTCAAACTATATACAACATATAGAAAAATTCCAAAAATTTTCGTCTAAATTTCGAATTTTTTACTCAGAATTTTTAGAACAATAGCCAAAATGTGCTGCTTAAAATTCTCATTGATTTTTTTTTATTTTTTTTCCATTGATAAAAAATGGCGTTGATTTAATTCTTGTTGCGAACAATCATGGTGCGTAATTACATACCTGTAAATTTTTTCTTTATATTTAAATAATCATTTAAAATATTTAGGCATTCAAAAGCTCCTCGGAATTCCAGTAAAATTAGTTTTGAATGGAGCGCGATATGTTCGCCTTATATCGATATACATTTATACGTATGTAATTATATAAAAAGTATGCAAATAAATTTATAATATATTTAAAGATAACTACGAAAAATAAATCGGGAACGGAAAGTTCATCAAAAATCTACCAAAATGAGAAAAAATTTACCTTTTTACCAACCCAAATTTTTTCTACCAATTTTGGTAACAATTTACCAAAGTGGCAACCCTGCTGTTTACTTTCTCGCCTGACGGCCAGCCGCGCGCACTCCAACGTCAAGGTTACACAACTCTCCTACGCTCAGTGCTGCTCAATGTTCTCTCCCACTCCCATTTGACAGTCTCATATCTTCCGCATAACTTTATACATATATATGTGCATATAGATATATGCATGTGGATACCAAATTTTATTCTCGCCGATTATAGCGCTCAGACATGCGCATTCGCAGCACAGCTTCCAATACCCCACCGGTCATCTGTTACCTGCTGGCGCTCAGTATAATCGCGAGGGCTCATTTGCATCTGCTCAGTGATTTAGCTGCGACTTTTTGGCATGGTTTCTTTTTTAACCACGACGACCAATACACTTACATACATGCCATAACAACCCTGCTGAAAAATATTATCAATTGATAAAACATAACCCACTAGTAGTCAGCTTTTTTGAGGGATTTCTAAAAAAATATATTACTTATAGTTAACTACAAAAAGCCAACTTGAAACTAGTTGAAAAGTATTACAGGTGTCATACAGACTTAAACGGAAGTTTGCTTACTTTAAACAAGTTTCTTTTTAAAAATCATCATACAAATTTTACTTTGAATTTACTTTTATTCTGAACTTTACAAGTACTTTTTCGAATTCAAGACAGATCAAATTAAGTCTAAACTTTATATGATCATTTTGAATTTAGCTCTGACGGAGTTCGAATATGGGACCACCTATAGCAAAAAATCTAAACAAAAACAATGTTAAATAAAGAAGAAAAAGAAAATAAATAAACAAATGAAAAGATTGAACAAAATATGGTTTTTCCGATTGACATTTGATGTTCAAAAGTAGTTAGTTACAAGTTAGTTGACATCTAATGCAGAGGTAACCACGCTTGACTATTTCGCGACCATCGCAACATAAATATAGTTAGCTTACCTCAAAGAAAGTATACAGATAATAATGATTTTTTTTAGTGCCGTCCTAATTAGCTTCAAGTTAACTTATAGCTAGATACATTTCCAACAGGGAACCTCCACAGATGATGATGTGCATGATGGGCAGGTGTTGGTCGCTGCTGCTTTTTACGCTGCCGCCATTGCTCCTCTTTATTACCGCCGACACGATGATTATTGTAGTAAATACTTATTGTTATTGTTGTTGGCACTTTCGATCTTCGATTTTATGGTAGTACATATGTATATATGTATGTATGTATTTGTATAGGTATTGAAATTTGCTCGTTCAAGAAAAGAAAGTTTTGTTACTTATAGTTTGCATAAATAGTGACTTCGGCTATCCCTCCGCAAACAACTCCTTGCCTTGCCCCAGGTTCCGGGTGATGTAAAAATAACAATACCTGGCCAGTTTTAATTTCTTGTTTTCACCTTCCGTTTTAGCTTCTTCTTGTTTGTATTGGGTCGGTCGTTTGGTTTATAGGCACTATAAACATTTTGGCGTCTCGTAGATTATATAATCAAAGACGGCGAAAGGAAGTTGTGTAATATTTGGTGTGTCGCCGCTGGGCATGGGCACAAATGCGTCAACAACAATAGCAATGCTTACTTACAGTATACAACTAAAAATTTGGAACTTAAAATATACATTACATATCCAGTATAGATATGTATGTACAAACATGTTAAACACATTATATTTTCTCTACTTACCATCATTGTGTCTTTAAGCTGTGTTTTTATTACAATTATGTACGTAAGTACATATCTACATATGTACATATATTTATATATATATTCGTATATATGCATAAAATGTCTGGTCTGGTCTGGTAATATGTCGTTTAATTGTTTTCCAGCATTAAGTAAACTAGTAAAACACATGGAATAATGCCGCCTGCACGTGTCAAATGAAACCAGCTGCAAGAAAGCTGAATTTATCTAACTCAATTATGACATTTGTATAAATCTAATTTAAATGCTTATAATTTAAAAATATGTAATAATATTCATTATAGCGTTTATGAGGAGAGTTGTGGCCGAGTTTCTTCAACAACTCACGTATAGTGCCCTAATTACAAAGGCCTGTGAAATGTAACTATTTTCCCTCTTCCAATAATTATATGATTTTTTTAATAGGAAACGGTGCAATGGATATGGTCGGGGCTGAAACAGGTGCTTCTTGCATATGGTATTAATTGAACAAAAATTTGCTAATAAAAGGTTAAAGAATAACACTTAGAAAAAGACCAATACAAGAATGAAAGTAAAGGTCGTACATAGATAAAGAAAAGGATAAAGGCAGAGGTAAAAATAAAAAACCAAAACAAAGATGCGTAAAGATAAAGGCAAAAATTTAGACCAAGATAAATTTAAACACTTTACTTATATACATATATGTATATAAGGGCAAAGGTGAAGAGCAATATAGATATAGATGAAGAAGATGATAAACATAAAAGTAAAGACAAAGAAGAGGATGAGGATACCGATAAAAGTAAAGATGAAGATAGGGGAAGAAAGATTAAAATAAAGGTAATTAAAGAGGAAACGACACAAAGACTCAATCTGGGAACTATTTTGGGATTTTAGAGAATTTCGGGATTCTCGGGATTATCGATTTTTTGTCGACTTTTTTATCGAAATTTTTATCGATATTGTTATCAATTTTGCTATCGATATTTTCGGTACCTATCGATAAAATACTCGATATTTTTATCGATTTTGTTATCGATATTTTCATCGATTTGTTATCGATATTTTTAGCAAGTTTGTTGGCGATATTTTTTATCGATTTTGTTATCAATATTTATCGATTTTGCTAGCGATATGTATCGATTTTGTTATCGATATTTATCGATTTCGTTAGTGATATTTATCGATTTTGTTATCGATATTTATCGATTTTGTTATCGACATTTATAGATTTTGTTATGGATATTTTTATCGATTTTGTTATGGATATTTTATTGGATGTTACTATAGAGTAAAAGGACAGAAATGAACATAAAGGAAAACAGAATAACATAAATGTAATTATGTAATATCCGGAACCGCGAGCTTTTGTGTCACTCACCCTTAAATTAATTTTATTAATGTAATTTTACTTAACTATTTACTTTACTTTTTTAAAACTTGAGCCTTTTTGATAACAAATGTGACGAGTGCTTGTAACTCATTTATTTATATTTTTAATTTTCCTAATTGCATCGGCATCATCGAAAGGGGTTTCAAGTACAGCTTCTCCGATGGCTTGGAAAGTCATATCTTTGGAATCCTAAAAGTCTTCTGCCCTCCGATAGACCAAGTGAGGAAAATTTAGGTTCCACTTAACATTTACAGTTAACGTAAATTGCCACACTTGGTGTGCTTTAGTGAGCTCGGTTAGTCGCTAAAGCGGTGACAGCATTACAATTTCCAGCTTATTGAGTTTAAATTAGCAGGAAAAACCCAAAACATATTTATAAACCTCATAAAATGATCATTTATTTATTTTCCTTTTATTAGCAAAAGATGCCAGTGCATTTAAGTTATTTAAATGGATAACGAAGAAAACAGATATTGACAATGCAATATACAGGGAAAGTAAAAGTGAAACGCATTGGATATTATAAATAAAAAGTACAATGGGTAGTTAATTGAGGAACTGAAATATGTGTATGCATGAACTAATGCTCATAAAATGCTATGCGCCA